CGTCAGCGGGCACGTGCATCCGCGCGCGTCCTTGCAGAGTCCGCGCTTTGGACGCGCACCCCCGCGGATATCGCGTGGGCGTTTGCCGCTGCGCTGAAAAGTGCGACCTAGCGTGCGATCCAGGTTAAAGCGCAGTTAAAGCGGCCGGGAATGCAGCGGCCGCGAATTGCGAGGCGGCCGGGCCGCATCGTCGGGTTAGCGCGCGTAAACGCTGACCGCGGTTAACCGAATCTTCCTACGTCCCATCGCGGCTGGAACCAGCGGCGGCGATGGTGGTCGGCCAGAAAGCGCCTGGCAATCCGTAGAATATAATCGGTCGAAAGAGCATATTAAATGGACTCTGAAATGGCCCGAGGGGAGTCATTTCCGCGGGTGGATCGTCGAAAGAATCCCGGTCGGTTGAAAGTGAACGACGCGCTAATTGAGAATTTCGCGCGGTAAGAAGTCCGTGTGATTTGCGTCGGATTTCTCAATCGTCACGGGACCGCCGTGCGCGTCGACGGAGAGGTCGGATTAATTCGCAAGAAGAGCGTTCGCGCGCCCCGGTATGAGGAGAGACTGAAACTCGCCCCTGTGCTAGCCGCGCGCCTCATGGACCGACATTTACATTTCGCCCGTTCTCTGGAACTTTCGACTTGCCTGTTCTCTCTCGCCCGCCACTGCGTTTTAATACTTTTCGTCCCGCCACCTACTTAATTACGGTCCGCCCGGACCTTTGTCGCGATTATCGAGCCTTCCGCGGCGCAAAATTGCACGATGTATTGTTGATAGGCGTCAGGCGCTGGGTGCGCGCTCGTACCTTTTCTCTCTCTTTCTCTCTCTCTCTCTCTCTCTCTCTCTCTCTCTCTCTCAGAGAGGAGGAGCCGATAAGACGAGACGGGAGAGAGCCAGGTTGGACGGTTCATCTACTTATCTCTAATTTCGCGCGATATGTTCCTGCTGGCCGACAAAGCCGTGATTAAAGGTTTACTTAGTCATTAAAATATTCCATTAACGCCGCGCGCGTGCGTCCTGTAGGTTCGGGTGAGTGAGAACGATGCGGAGGGAAAGATGAATCAAGAAAGAGAGAGAGAGAGAGAGGAAAATAGAGAGAGTACGACGTTAACCTGGTGGAAGCAAAGGAGGAGCCTTATTAAGGGTGACTCTTCCGCTTGCCTGAGCGCTTAAATTTCAGAACGTCGTTCCACGAAACATGGACGACATCGTTAAGGCACGGCCGTCGAGATTAAAGGCTTTCCCGGATTCGAGAGATTTCAAGTCTGGGATTGTCCGCAATTAGTGCGGAATGAAGGGGCAAGGTAGTGGCGGCAACGACGACGATGAAGAAGAAGAAGAAGAAGACGAAGACGACGGCGGCGGCGGCGGCGACAGCGAACTCTCCTTCAGGAAACTACAGAAAGCTTCCTGCGCGGAGGCGAAGGAAAGCAGGGACGTTAACGAGAGGAATCTTAAGATGCGTCGCAATCGTTATCGACCCTTCTTCTCTCCCTTCGACCGTTGTCTAAAGGATGATTGTATTCGCCGCCGCCAAATAAACGTACAGCGACAAACTCCGAGGTGGACGTCGAAGAGCTCGTAATTGATAGTTCTTTGTACGCATTCTCTGCGTCTCGAACTTGTCGTGTTTATGTATCATTAAGGGAGTTATTACTAGACGGATGATTCAATCGACTCTCTCTTTCTCTCCCTCTCTGTCTCTCTCTCTCTCGTTCTCTCTCTCCCTCCTTGCTCACTTCTCTCGCGATTAATCGCCGTACCTAAGCGAGATAAACGAGAGGTCGCTCGGAGGTCGCAGCCTCTTTTTTTCTCCATTTTTCTTTTTTGTACATCACTCGCGCGCGACAGCGGAATTTTTCGTTGACCCGAATAATTACGTCTCCGATACACTTCGCTCGCGGATTGAACGAACGTCCGACGGGATAATTCAACGCTCGCCGATACTACGACGCGATTTATTTCAGTTACGAGGTCCCCTCACGGTTACTGCATGGCACTCCGTCGAATAAAATTGTCTCCTTTTGTCGTTACGCATTATTGCCGCGAGCCTTATCTTAATGCGCAGACGACACATGGAATAATGATAAAACGAAAACAGAGAAATCACTCGCTCCGATATTTGTGTATTTCAGCAAATGGAAAAGCAATATGGACCACGCTCCGCGAAGCAACATATTTTTAGACTATTATTCTTACATCTATCGTTTGTTTTTCGATCGTCCTTCGAAACGCGCACCACTGTTAGCTCGCCAGCTTGCGTAACTAGTGCGGACTGTCGAGATCCATAAAGCGCACGAAAGACAGGGGAAGGTAACACGGCGAGAAATGTTTTAATTCCGCGGATATTATCGAGTTAGCACATTTTTCTTCGGTGGAGTTTTCTCTCTCTCTTTCTTTCTCTCTGTCTGCCAACAGATTGCTAACTATAACTGTCTGTCTGTCTTGTAATCCGTCTGCAGTCATTAGTTATGTAGTAAATTTTTAGTACGATTACTGCATTTTATACTTTTCTTTTCTTTTAATTTTCTTCATGATCTACACTGTCGTCAAAACACAACGATATTTCACTGCATTATCCTAAGCAGTCAATGTACACATACGGGGTACATATCGGGGAAAAAAAATCTATCTATCTAACTCTTTTTTTCTGCGGCCAATATCCTTTCTTCGTTGCCTCAAAGGAGACTACGCGATTTCGATGAAGCGACCTCCGGCACGATCACACGCTCTGGTTACACTCCCTGTTATCGCGCGATTTTCTACACTCGGCGCGAAACGGCCGGTACGTTCTGGCGCGACCTGCGAGCTCCACTCGGTCTCCTTTCAATCGGACAGCGAGCTTGTTACCGTGCAGTTTCGCGAATTAGATTTCCGCGAGTGTGTGTCACGTGTTCGAGAGCGCGAGGGGGGCCGCTCTATCTCGTTTCCAGCGTGAAACTTTTCGAAGCGCGCGCTATAGACACGCGGCCAGCCGGCGGGAACGATATACACGATACACACGCGCGCACGTCCGCCCAGTCGTCGTGTGTCACACGCGCGTTTACGCGCGCAGGAAGTTGGACGGTCGCTGAAATTGTTTCCACGGGGAAAATAGTGGTATGGACGTGTGCGGTAACCGCGATAGCGCGCGCTCGCTCGCGTTCGTTCCCGTCGCGACGCGAAACTTTCGCCTCGGCGCAAATTTACGCCGCGATACACTTCGATCGCTTCAATTACGACGACGGCCTCGACACGTCGCGCTGCCAGCGCGCGCAACGACGGCCTGTGCCGTCGTTGACTGAAACCGCAATGGATGGAGCTTTTTTTGTGTGACGTAAACTCTTGTATGTGGGACACACCAGTGGGCTCGACACACACAGTGGCTTGTGATTTAGACACAATCCGCTTGGGAGTACACTATACTGCCCAAATTAGGAGTCATTATCGACAGATTTGCGCAGTTGTATCATTAATTATTTGGAGCCGGAGCTGTGTCAGGCAGGCTACTCATTAGCGACTTGCTTTCCTTTTAAAAAAGTACAGGGCTAGGGTAGTCGACGAAAATACGGGGGTGACACGATGGACTTCGGGTTTGAGTGTCTCAGGCGTTTCCTTGGGAGACTACCCTTCCCCCTTGTCATTAATAATAATGTTATAAATTATTATTTATTATCATGTAATGTTTCTAATTATATTGTTGATGTCTAAGTCTGTCCGTAATGACCCTCTATTATGACTGTCTAATGAGCTCCCCCAACTTCTTTGCGTCTGAATTGCAACTTTACAACCCACTGTGCGCTCTTCATGCGTGCTAACTTTACGTTATTCTTCCCTTAAGAAAGAAAGAGAGAAAGAGAGAGAGATAGAGCCACGTGCGTGGGCGGCTTCACCGGTAACGGAATATCCAAGACGAGGGTTGTCGCGAGTCAGCCCCGCTTGGCACCGAATACCGAACTTGAAAGTTCATCGCATCCGCGGCGCGGTATGCTAAGCTCGCGCACCACGAACGCGTAATGCACGTCTCGCGAAATAGAATGTGCGGCGTGCGCGCGGTGCTCCATGAGTCACGTGTACGGCGAATCGTAAAGTAAATCCGTGCGACGGAAACTCGCTTGGCACCGAGAGAACGGCACTCCCGGACGTCCGCCGCGTTCTTCAAGGCTGTGAGCCCAGCTTTATTTTTCAATAAAGCACCGCGGGGCCCATCTTGCATCAACGGGCAAACGTTCGAAATTCCCGTCGTGAAGTAACAATCCGTTCGCGGCTCACTCGTTCGTCCGCTCATTCGCCTGCTTGCCTACTGAACAGGTGCGCGTCTCTACGAACAGGAAAGAAGAAAGAATCACGTCCTTCCGAGCGAGATTCGAGATCTAATCGAAAGTCGTAGGGGGCAACGACGAGGTGCGACGTCCAACGACGTCGTTGCGAGTCAACTCAAAGCAACCCGAGAGGAACCCGAGGGGAGAGAAAATCTTCTCTTTCTTCCTCTCTTTCTCTCTCTCTCTCTCTCTTGCCATTATCGCGAGAGATAAAAGCTCGTGAAGCGAACGAAATTTTGTCTGACACGCGAGTCTCTTCGGATCGTGAACGTACGTGCCCGATGGTTCCATAAAAAGTGATAAATCATTATTTCACCGGCGAGTTCGGCACACAGGCAACGCGAGGATCTCCACTCACTCTTTCCTTCGGGAGTCGCTTATCAGCGCCGGTATTAACGCGAATCTTCGTTAATTAAACTTCCATTCGTTCTGTCTCTACCATAGGCCAGAGCTACGGCTTAGGGCGCAACAGCGAGCAGTTAATCCGCAATCAAGTGAATCCGAGTCCGGCGGGACAGTTAATCGACTCAAAGGTCCCTCTTTTTACCGCACTACGCGCTCATCCCGCACGCACTCGTCCCGACTTTGTCCACTTGTGCCGAGGGACTCACGATTCGGACATAACGGGAGAATCGCGTCAGAGCGATGAAAAAAAAAGACACAGAGACATATCGAGAGAAAGAGATTCAACGGCGAACGAATTACCTGCGAAGATTAGGCAGCGGGCCAGCATCCTTCGATCCTGTGGGCCGAATTCGAGCTCTCGCCGCCTGGTACCCGCGAGGAGAAGAAGGAAGACGACGACGAGGGGCAGATTCGTGAGCGCTGCTTCAGCCGTCACCCTGGACCACTCGGTCTACGGTGTCGTAGGATCGCGTCGTCGTCACCCTCGCTGTCGTTCTCGTCGTCGTCGTCGTCGTCGCCGTCGTCGTCGGCGGCGACGTGCACGACGCGCGGCGCTGGTACCTGGTGGCCGACGACGAGGACGAGCAGCGTGTCGCGGTGTCGACGGCGATGCTGGGAGTGCACGCGGTGCATACGCGGCGCGCGGCCAGTCTAAGCCGGCGTAGATGTCGGTCGGTGGACGCGAGAGCCGGCGCGGGGGCGGTGATGCTGGCGTGGGACACGGGGAGGCGAGGGAGAAGGTGGAGGAGAGGACACGAGTAAGTAGAGCCGAGTTGAGCGAAGAGGTCCGGCGGAAAACGCGGCGCGTCTACTACCCTCGCGACGAGAGTCTTTGGCCTCCGGCACCGCCGGCCACGACTGATCCGCGCCGGGTAACCCCCGCGAGTACCCGGGCGCATGCGTGCCACACTCTCTATGCACCCTCTCTCACTCCTCTACTCGTCCTCTTACCCCGCGGGTTCTCTGTCTCGCTGTATCTCTCTCTCTCTCTCTCTCTCTCTCTCTCTCTCTCTCTCTCTCTCTCTCTCTCTCTCTCTCTCTCTCTC